GTGGGGACGGGCTTGGCTGGCGGCCGCTGTCCGGTTGCTCGTGCCGTAATGCCTGCTCCGGGTTCTGCCCGCCAGGCCCTGGGTCCCTTGGCACCGTGCGCCCTGCCGCCTCTGCTTACCCCTCCCGCCCTCCCGCTACGCCAAGCCACCTGCGCCCGGGGCTCTCTCCCAGTGGGTGCAGACTTGCCCCGAGCCAGACTCCCCGCCCGCGCCTCCCCCTGGCGCCCACCTACCTGCCGCTCCCCGAACAGGCAGCGGCTCCTTCTCGGAACGGATGGGCAGCGCAGGGGGCTCCGGGCCAGTGCCACCGGCCGGCCGCGAGCCGAGGAGCAGCAGCCCCAGGAGCAGCCGCGGGGCCGGCGGGGCCGGGAGGCTCGGCATGACGCGGAGCGGACAGCTGGGGAGGCGGGCGGGAGGAGGGAGCAGGAGAGGGAGTAGGGCAGGACCAGAGGCGGGCCAGCGGGAGGGGGCCGGGGCCAGGAGGGGGGCAGTGGCGAGGGGCTCGTCTCGCAGTCGCCGAGTCCGCTCCCAGTCGGGCGGGGCGGGAGAGCGCGGGCGACTGGGCGCTGACCCGGGCCGTACGCCGCTCTAGTGCCCTAGGCGCCGGCTCCGGCCCGTTTTATGCCCGCGCCAGGAGTCCCGGCCCGGGGCCTCCTCCTAAGCAAACGGGGCGCGGCGGCGGCTCTGCAAGGAGCCCGGCTGAGCCCGGGGGGTCCGGCCCAGCAGCAGCGGCCGGCTCGCGAGTGGGGGAGGGGGACAGGCTGGGACCCGGCAGGGGAGGAGGGAGGGACTGAAGGAGGGGGGAGCGGAGTGGGCAGGGGGAAGGGAGGAACCAGGGGGCGCAAAGAGGGGGAGGAGAGGCGGGCTTCGACACCCCCCCACACACTCCTTGCGGCCACCCCTGTGGCCGGACCAGGAGATGATGTCCATCCCAAGACCGGAGCCTCGGGCTAGTGAAAGGGCAGACGCTGGGCCTCAGGCCTGTGCCAGTCATGGGCAGGATGGGCCGCTGGAGGATGAGGACTTGTCTTGGAAAAGGACAATGATCTTCCCCTGCCTAAGACCCATGGCACCCTCCTCCTTTCTTCACTCTGGCTATATTCCTAGTTCTCTTCTAGGGTCTTTCTGGAGTTCCCAGGGACAGGGACCAAGTAAGAATCAAAAAGTCCTCCCTACACCCAGCGGAGTAATAACCTCCGCCTTATAACCTGTTCACAAGTCCATCCAGCCATCACCTGGCTTTCTCACCCTTTCTCTTTATCCAAGGGACCACCCTCTCCCTCTCCAGTTCATCCCCCAACCTCCTTTGTCCGGCTTCTCTAGTCCTGCCTCCCCATCTCCTCCACCCCCATTCTTCCCACTATTCCCAGCACCGGGCTTCCTAATCTTAGGAGGCATCTCTTCTTATTGAACTAGAGAATTCCGGGATCTGGGCCATACTCCTTAGTAGACAGCCCATCCTCAGAGAAGGCGCAGGAGAAAGGCGGAGGAAGAACAAGGGAGAGAGCGTAAGGTCAAGCCAGGAGACCCCTGAGGACAGGGACTATGGGGAGACAGGGACTGAGGAGAAAGCACGGGAGCTAGGGCCAGGGCCAAAGGAAGAAAGAGAGGAGCCAGCAGAGAGTTATTGTGGGGGAGGCTCAGCAGCTGTCTTCCCCGAGACAGGGACAGATGAGGCTGGTTATTTCTCTTGTCACATGTATAGTGGTAGGAATGGAAGAGGGCCATTGGGCAATCAAGGGCAGGCCTGTTCACAGCATTGTGTTTAGATAGCCAGGTCCCTGTTCCCCCAGTAGAAAGAAAGGCACCTGAGTCTAAAAATCTGTCTGTTTTTCTTTCTTTTTTAGACAGATTCTCAGTATGTAGCCATGGCTGGCTTGGAACTCACTAGGTAAAACAGGTTACCTCAAACTCATAGAGATCCACCTACCTCTGCCTCCCAAGTGCTGGGATTAAAGGTGTGCTTTGGGCCCAGTCTTAACAAACACGTACCCTTTCCCTTCAAACTGCCCATAGCCTCTTTCCTATAACATGATCATTCTCTAACACAGGCAACACCTAAATTGCCAGTTAAGAAATACCAAGAAAGCTAAGGTGCTGTCGGATTTCGGCAGCAGGTATAGCATTCAGAGAAAAGAAATTTGGAGAGCTAGGAACTGAGACTCCATCCATCTAAAACAAGACCTCTCTTTCCCATGGACAAATGTATTCTGCCAGATTGCTCCTGGACTAAACCCTCTCCTCTCTCCCTCATCCAGATCCCAAGGTCCCAGGTTCCCTAGGACACGAGACAGCTCCCGCTATGTAAATCCTCACTGGAGTGTGTGTGGGTGGAGGAGCTGGGCTCAATTCATGGACCATGGTCCAGGCAGGGGCTCCAGGTCCAGTAGGTAGGAAAAGAACTCGTCATTTCCGGGGCCTTCACCAGGGTTTGGTGGCTCACAGCTTTCTGATTGGGTGGAAGTGGCCTGGGCAGGCTTGTGACCCTACTGCAGAGGAGGGGCTGTGCCCCAGCGAGTGTCTTCCTACCTACCTGCTCCCCAAAGTGCTGCCTGCGGTGCACCTTGGTCCTGGAGCCCTTCTCCGCCCGGTGAGTGACAAGCACAGTTTGGGGTTAAGTGAGGGAATGGTATGAAGAACAAAAAAGAACTGGGCTCTTAGCTGGGGGAGGGGCAGGCAAACTGGAACCTACAGGCACTGACCTTTGTCAAGAAGAGTGGAGCCTTCCCAGAATGGGAGGAGCAGGACAGAGCAGGGAAAGGGGGTTGGGTACTGGTTTATGAGGGACTATTCACAGACTTGGTCGAATTCAGAATAGTCCTGGCTGCCTCGGGTCCATGAGAAAATAAGAAAGGAAGTGTGTGTCAGGCTAGAGAACTCGGCACTAAGGGACATAATCCTAATCCCCATTCTCATATGGTCATTCAAGTTAGCTTAAGGTTCTGAATCCTGAGACTGGGAAAGCTGGGTCAGGTGAGCCAAGGCACAAGAAGAGGGTAATGGGAGGAGGGCTTGCGTGTGTTGACAGACCTTCAGGAGATCCCAATATTGAATCAGGTGCAGGCCTCTTTGCTCAACTTGTTAATAGTGGGGGTCCTAGGAAGGGACTGGAAGGGACCTGGAGGGGCGGGGAGGCAGGTGCAGCTGAGATGGATGCATTGGCAAGTGTCTAAGGTGAGATAAGCCAAGCGGGGTAGGTGGCATTTTGCTCTCGGTGTCTCAGCCTGGGCCACTTGCCTCAGGAAGTTCTAGTACTGTTAGCCCTTTGATTTGAATAGCCGGGCATTTCAGAACTTGGAAGTCCAAACAAGAGTCCCAGGTTTTATTTGTGGGGTGACCAGGGAAAGAAGGAGAAACTAGTGTCTCTTCTTAATTCCTGCTTCTGGTGGTCCGTTATATGTTTATCCACTCCCCTGCCTCAGCCCCACTTTCAACACTATGGCTGTCCTTCAACACATGTACTCATCTGCCACTTCCTCTTTTTAGCTGATAACCCATTTTTTTACTCTTCCCCAGATTTACACAACACTTCCGTTCTTTATTCCCATCCCACATTCTCACCCACTAACAACCAGTGTTGCACAGAATTTGAGCCCAACTAAGATATGTGTGTAGCCAGGTGGTGGTGGCACATGCCTTTAATACCAGCACTCGGGAAGCAGAGACAGGAGGATCTCTGTGAGTTCCAGGACAGACTCTCCAAAAACTACAGAGAAACCCTGTCTCAAACACAACAAACAAACAAAAAAGATACGTGTGTGTATATGTCATGTTTTGCTGCACTCAGCAGGGCAACACTTGGCAGACAGGGAAGCAAAACCATATCCGCGTCACCAAAGAGCCCTCACAAAGAGGAGATACTATATGCTTCAGTCACAAGAAAACAGGGGAGCAGATGGAGCGCTAACAACTCTGGTCCTGGCCAGCCAGAAGCTCCGAGCATGTGTTTCCCCATGCCAAGCAGTCTTTTCTTTGAAACTTGAAAGATTCACTCTCTCTGTCATTTTCAGGATAGCTTCCTTAGCCCACCTGTGCCCCACACCACTCTGCACAAACGTATAAGAGCTCAAGCCGCCTCCATGGCCCCAGGAAAGATTCAGGGGAGAGGCCCCATCCAGGGAGCCACACCTGCCAGACACCCTAGCCAGAATGGAGCTGACTGGTAAGAAAACACTCGGGGAGCTAGGAACACGTTCAAGAATGGCTTGGTGTGGTAAGAGGTGGGGATGATGCTACAGAAGCAGAGGGCTGGAAAGCCCAGGCTCCCGAGAAAAGGGTTTTGTCTGGACAGCAGACCCCTAGGTTTCAAATAGGAATCCCTGAGTCACCACCTAAGAGTGATTGTCTCTTTACGGACCCTTCAATTCCACTTCTCCTCGTCTAAGATTTGCTCCTGGTGGCCATGCTTCTCCTTACTGCAAGAATAACTCTATCCAGCCCAGCTCCTCCTGCCTGTGACCCCCGACTCCTAAATAAACTGCTTCGTGACTCCCATCTCCTTCACAGCCGACTGGTGAGCACCCCAAGCACTAGGCCTCCTCTCCACCTAACTGGTAAGGTACTCACTCTTTCACATTCTCTCACTCCAGTACTGTCTTTGGCAAGGCCACAATGTCCTGGTCCCTCCCTGGCAAGGGCTGTGATTTGCACAGAGTCCCTTAAAGGCTCTAGTATGGGAATGGTACCAAGGGAGAGCACCTCTGTCACGGGCCACCATCTTGCTCTCTGTTTCAGCTTCTTTCCTCCCTACCCATCTTTCTTCACAGAGTCAGTGCCCTGACATCAATCCTCTGTCTACACCTGTCCTGCTGCCTGCTGTGGACTTCAGCCTGGGAGAATGGAAAGCCCAGACAGTAAGAGCATCCTTGACCGCCTCCCTCACACACGCAAGGTGTAGGATGCTTCCCTCAGCCTAAGGCCAGCCTCGGAGGTACTATGAGTCCAGGCCAGCCTAGGCTACAGACTGAGGCTCCCATCTCAAAAAAAAAAAAAAAAAAAGACAAAAAGGGGGGATGGGAGAGAAATCTCATCAGATCCCTTCTATTCCCCACAGTATTTTTTGTTTTTAATCTATATAGGTGTTTTGCCTGCATGCTAGGAATTGAACCTGGGTCATCTGGAAAAGCAGCAAGTGCTTTTAACTACTGATCCCTCTCTCTCTAGCCTCCTAAATTTTTTTTTTTTTTTTTGGTTTTTCGAGACAGGGTTTCGCTGTGGTTTTGGAGCCTGTCCTGGAACTAGCTCTTGTAGACCAGGCTGGTCTCGAACTCACAGAGATCCGCCTGCCTCTGCCTTCCGAGTGCTGGGATTAAAGGCGTGCGCCACCACCTCCTGGCTGCCTCCTAAAATTCTTGAGTTCCTGAAAAGTCTCACCTTCAACTTGGGCACCTTAACCCAATTTACAGTCACCAGTGACAAGATCTTGAGGAAATGAGGACAAATTTCTGACCAATATATCAAAGAGGCTTGGCTGGTGGCTCATGCCTTTAATCTCAGCACTCAGGAAACAGTGACAAACAGATCTTTTCTAACCTTTGACCTATTCTTATTGTTGTTCAGTATGATGATCATTCCGTTTTTCAAGACAGGGTTTCTCTGTAGCTTTGGAGCCTGTCCTGGAACGAACTCTTGTAGACCAGGCTGCCCTTGAACTCACAGAGATCAGCCTGCCTCTGCCTCCCAAATGCTGGGATTAAAGGCCCCACCACCAACAGGCTTTCAATCTAATTTTTTTAAACCCATTTACTTATAAATATGGTGGGGTCATGCCATGGTGTATATATGGGGGTCAGAGGACAATCTGCAAGACTGATTTTCTCCTTCTACCGTGTAAGTCCCAGAGACTGAAGTCAGGTCATCAAGCTTGGCCACAAGCATCTTCACCCTCTGAGCCATCTCGATGGTGCCACAATCTTCTTAGTTGGCATGAAGGAAGTCTGAGCTACTGCCCACAGGTGACAGAAAGCAGAAAGTATCACTAAAATATAGGCAAAATCAAGATTCAAACCCTTTGCTGGGCATGGCGATACAAACTAGAAATCCCAGCAGCTCGGAAGGTGGGGTAGAAGGATGAGTGGCAGGATAGCTTAGGCTATACAGTGAGGCCTTGTCTCAAAAAAAAAAAAAAAAAAAAAAAAAAAAAAAAAANAAAAAAAAAAAAAAAAAAAAAAAAAAAAAAAAAAAAAAAAAAAAAGGCAAAACCAAGCCAGGTGGCACATGCCTATACATATATATATATGTGCTTCCTGGTCTGGAAAAGGATGATGGCACTACGGACCCCAGCTCTAGCTCTCTGTGTTCATGACAGGGTCTCACTATGTATTCCGGGCTGGCCCTGAACTTGGGAGCCTCCTGTGTCAGCACCCCTTAAGTGCTAGGATTACAGGCATGTGGCATCAGACCCAGCTCTGCCATTTGTTAAGTCCCTTCCCGTCCTCTTTGTGGTGACTGGGACAGTCCTGTTGCTACGTTTAGCTTAGAAATGGCACAGCAATTCTGTAGCGGAAAGAACAGACTTGCAGTGCTGCAGCCTAGAGCTAAAAGCTGCACACAGGTAGGGTGGCTTTCTGACCAGAAGTCCACGCAAGACCAGGCTAGGTTGATGGATACCGGAGTTACTGAAGCAGAGGCCAATGGCTAGTTGTTAGGAGACTGTGAAGGAATTCCTGTGATGGGTGGGACCCTCATCCTGTCCAATTCCCAGCTCCTATGATTCATCCCGCTGGCTACTCCATGGGCTCCCCACCCATTATTAGCACGTTTTTGAAACAGACCACTTCTCCTGTTTCCCAGGCACAGACCAAGGCTCAGGACATTCTAGGAGCAACTACCCTTCTCCTGGAGGGGGTGATGGCAGCGCGAGGACAGCTGGAACCCTCCTGCCTCTCCTCCCTCCTGGGACAGCTTTCGGGGCAGGTTCGCCTCCTCTTGGGGGCCCTGCAGGGCCTCCTAGGGACCCAGGTAAGTCCGTGGGCAAGAGACCTCTAAAAACCAGTTACTAGTCCCTCTAAAGACTTGGGGGAGACCAGGGATTCTGGGTACCTTCAGTGTAAAAAGGCTGGCTTATAAGGAGTGCTGCCTCCCAAACATAACACCTGGCTGCTGGCAATGACCTTTTCCTCCTTAGTCAAGAGAGGCCTGGTACAAGGGCGTGCTCTCTGGCCTCAGGCCCATCCTCTGCCCTCAGCTTCCCCCACAGGGCAGGACCACAGCTCACAAGGATCCCAAGGCCATCTTCCTGAGCTTGCACCAACTGCTGCGAGGAAAGGTGCGCTTCCTGCTGCTAGTAGAAGGTCCCACCCTCTGCGTCAGGCGGGCCCTGCCCAACACAGCTGTCCCCAGCAGGACCTCCCAACTCCTCACATTACACAAGCTCCCAAACAGGACTTCTGGATGGCTGGAGTCGAACTTCAGTGTAGTCGCCGGAACTCCTGGCCCTGGGCTTCTGAACAGGGTTCAAGGACTTGCGACCAAGGTTATCCCTGGTCAGCTGAATCAAACCTCCTGGTTCCCAGACCAAATCCCTGGACACCTGAACAAGACATACGAACCTGGGAATGGAACTCATGGGCTCTTTGGCGCAGCCTCACTTCAGACCCTGGACACCTCAGTTCTGCCAGGAGCTTTGAACAAAGGCTCCCTGCCACCCAACCTCCAAAGTGGATCTCCCCCTTCTCCTACCCATGCTCCTGATGGACACACAGTCGTCTCTCCTTCACCCACCTTGCCCACCCATAGGTCTCTACCCCAGTTCCACACCCCGCTTCCTGACCCCTCCACCACTGTGCCTACCTCTGCCAGCCCGCATCCAGTTGCAGCGTCCCTCCACTCCCAGAATTTGCCTCAGGAAGCGTAAGGGACACAGGCGCAGCCAGTATCTGCAGTGTCTCTCAGACACAAGCCTTCCCCAGGAGAGGCAGCTGCAGCTGCACTAGGCGTCCTGCTTTCCCTGAAACCCAAAGCCCTGGGAAAGGGCTTCACGGGACAGGCGATCATAAAATTTCAGGAACTATTTTTTTAACCTATTAACAATATTCAGAGCAGCTAGTTATCTTTGGTCTATTTTCTGTATAAATTTGAAAATCACTAATTCTCTCTATGTGTTTTCTACAAAGGCCCAGACAGGCCAAGCCTTACAGGTAGATATTAACATTGTATCCGAAAACAAAAAGGTCATTTCCTTTACTCCCACCCCAGTGCCCTCATCCGGTTCTCTGTCTCAGTGAGACTGGTCCTCCTGATAAAGGAATAACAAGTTACCTCTTAGACAGACACCCCTATTTAGAGACAAAACTGAGCATCCAAGAGCCAACTAAAAATCAAGGGAGCAATATTCTTCTCAGGGGCAACAGATCTCCTGGACCCTGCCTCCCAGGAAACCTAACAGGAATTCCGCCTGGGGAACCCCATTCCTCAGGTAAGGCTGTGCAAATGGTTCAGTAAAGACTAGACCTGGACATGGCAGCTGAGCAAACAGCTAAGTGCAGCAGCAGCTCAGCAGGAGCTGAGCCAGGCCTGGGCTCCTGCTTCCCTCCTGTGGAGGTCAGGCGGAAGTGCAGGAAGTGGCAAGAGCAAGGCTCCATAACTCACACAGCAGGACAAGCAGAGCAGCTAAGGCTCTTTCTACTTCCCACAAATGCATCTAAAAAGCAGCCTTGTGTGACCACCTTGAACTCCACTGGGAACCCCCAAAATGAAGGCAAACTTCTGGGGGTTTTGCAAGTTAAGTGCTTTGTTGGTGCTAGAAATTTACATTACACAAAAACAAAACTGTATTGCCGGGGTTTACCTGCTACCCCAGAGCCTGTGAGAGGCTGGTGGGAGGGAGGTCTTCCTCACTCCTGTCCCAGAGTACAGGAGGAGGCTGCCATGAAGGTGGAGAAGCCAGGATCTCAGAATTCCAAACACTGCCACAGCAAAAGCAAGAGAACAGTGTTCTTCACAGAGGCAATAGGCGCCCCAAAATCTCCCTCCCCACAACTCTGTATGGTAGATATTAGCCATCTAATATCTACACATGAAGACACCAAGACCAGAAGGGCTTCCCAATGGTCACACAGCCTTCAGGCAGAAAAAGGATACCCAGCCTGAGTCGCAGCCCTACCCAGTATGGTGGCATCTGATACCCTCCAGTCAGTCTATGTAATAGAGATGTTGTCCGCTCTTGTGGTTTGTTTCTTTCAAAACAGGATTTCAAAAAAAACCAGAAACAAAACAAACAAAAAAAAACAGGATTTCATTGTGTAGCTCTAGCTATCCTGGAACTCACTTTGTAGACCAGGCTGGCCTCAAATTCAGAGATCCATCTGCCTCTGCCTCTTGAGTGCTGGGATCAAAGGCGGGTGCCACCACCACCCAGCTGTAAATACATTCTTAAGAAGCTCTGGGAAGACCAGAGCTTGTGGTGGGGATGAAAATTCAGTCATTTCCAGGTGTCCCTGTGGGCAGAACCTGGGGCAGAAGTCAACAAATGCACAAAGCTAAAGAATGTTATCAAAATCTCAGAGAGTCAGTCAGTTTCTAGGCAAGAGTAGTTTACCAACAAATTCTAGGGTGAGTCTAATTTGTAATTTGTTGTAACACTAAAGGAGGTTAAACTTAACACACTTAAAAATAAATTTAGGAGGGCAGGCTCCAAAGCTACAGAGAAACCCTGTCTCAAAAAAAAAAAAAACAAAATAAATAAATAAATTTAGGGTGGGTGAGATGGCTCAGTAGGTGAAAGGGCTTAAATGCAAGCCTGACATGAGTCTGATGCCTGGAACCCATGGAAAAGGAAAGAACCAACTCCCAAAGTTGTCTTCCAACCTCATGCATGCCATCCCATGCTGATACCCACACTTGCACATATACATCACACACAAACAACCAAAGTTAAAGGGCAAAAAGAGTTGGATGTGATGGTACATGTCTGTAAACTCAATACTTTGAATGTAGATACAGGAGGATCAGGAGTTTAAGGCCACCTTCGGCTATACAAGGACTCTGAGTACAACACAGACTACAAAAGACTGTCTCAAAAATTGATTTTCAAGCCGGGCGGTGGTGGAGCACGCCTTTAATCCCAGCACTCAGGAGGCAGAGGCAGGCGAACGAGACCAGCCTGGTCTACAAGAGCTAGTTCCAGGACAGGCACCAAAAACTACAGAGAAACCCTGTCTCGAAAATAAAAAAAATTTAAAAAAAATTAATTTTCATGGCAGGGACATAGCTCAGTGATAGGGCTCTTGCCAGCACAAAGTCCTGGGTTCAATTCTCAACACAATAAAACACAGAAGAGCCAGCACCCAGAACAAGATACACCAGAGACCAAAACTGAGGGTTGTCAGTGGTCAGAAGACAAGTGAAAATGCTGAACCAACGTAGCTGACGTTCCAGGCATCTGAGAAACTGGTTTCTACAATGTAAACCAATCTGAAATCTGCCCTCTTAAGAGGAACCCTGAAACAAGGTGTGTCGGTGCATGCCTGTTAAGTGCACAGTGGGGTTGAGGCAGGAGGGTCACAAGTCCAAGGTCTTCCCTGATTATACAGCAGGTCTCAGACCAGCTGGGACTTCAGGTTCCACCTTTAAAAAATTGTTTTACCCCTGCCTGAAGATCCAGCTCAGCGATGTGACACTTGCCTAGTAAGCCTTGGACCATCAGAACCAAAGCAGCGTCTAAACCAAATCATTCTGTGCAGCTGAGCCCATCACTTCTTCCCCAACACACACACAACTAAGAGATGCTGGCAAGAGCGCAATCTCTGGGACCCACATGGCAGGGAAAAGGGACTCCTCAAGGCTATCTTCTCCCTCACACACATACAAGTAAAACAAATGTTTGAAACATCTTTTTAAAAGCTTCTAAGCAAAACACATTTCTACTTAAGTCTCCCTTTTTCTTGCTGGGGCAGCCTGCTTTGACATTCTATCACTATTTCTGATGAGGGCCTCCCACTGTAATCTAATCCAACACCTCAAAAGCCTGACTCCATGGGATGATTAAAAGATTCTATTAGAGTTCATCCCAACCCCCAATGTATCACACACACCCTACTGTGGAAAGTTTAAAAAAAAGAAAAAAACCAAACCTCTTTGCTCTTCCCTGCTGAGGCCACTCATTTTCAACCATTTCTCTAAACACTGTTTCTAACACCTCTTGTAAAGACTAAAGAAAAAGATGGGAAGGAAGCACCCCAGGCATCCCAGCAGGGTGACCAGCTCCTGTGACAAACCCAGGACGTCAAGAGACAACTGGGGGTTAGATAAAAAAATAAATAAATAAAAAATCAAAACCTCAATTCAGTCCCCAGATGGTAGAGAGAAAGAGAGAGAGAGAGAGAGAGAGAGAGAGAGAGAGAGAGAGAGAGAGAGACATTTAGATTCCTTTGTAGCACACAGAAGGGCTATGGATTTGAGACCCAGCATTGCATAAACCAGGTTTGATAAAATCGAAGAAACTCAGAAGGCAGTGGCAGGATGATCAAGTTCAAGCCCAGTATGGGGTACATGGCAAAAGCAAAACCCTGGATGCCCCCACCCCCAATTCAGAAAAGAGTCTGAAAAAGTAAACTTTAATAAAAAAAAAAAACAAAAAAACACACACAGACACAACTTGAGATTCAAGCTAAGCTCTCCCCCTTGGCCTTTCACAGACAAGTGAGTTTTCCACCGAATCCAGACAGACTGAAGACGCACCCACAGCGGACATAGCCCAGTCGCTTTGGAAGGCGAACACGGCCAGCTTCTACTCAGGGTTGAACAACGTCCACAGCTTGAGTGACGAAGCAGCAAGGCTGGTTTCCCACGAGGTTCAGAACGCCAGCTTCTTCATCAGCAGATACACTCTGGAATCCACCTCAAATCCATGTAGGTTGTTGGCATCACCCTGAAGTCTCATGAGCAGGCCCCCATAGGACACATACGCAGAGCTGAAACAGAAGGCCCTGACCCTGAGTCTGCGCTCCGGACCAGCTGTTTGCCCCCAGCTCTCCCTCCCTTCCCCTAGTACTGGTCATTAGGAACCACAGGGCAGGACAGACTGAATGCAGACACAAAGCAGTGCTGTGTGCTGTTCACCCTAATGCACTAAACACTGCTGTGCCCACAATGGGAGTAGTCATTCACACAAACGAAGGTGTCACCACTCACTGCAATGCCATACAGCCACTGGACTGTGGAGGCAGGGGCTGGAGAGATGGCTCAGCCTTTAAGATCACTTACTGTTCTGGAAGAATGCCGAAGACCTGGATTCACTCCCCTAGCACCCACGGGGTATCTTACAACCACCTCTAACTTCCAAGGTGCCCAAGGTCCCCTTCTGATCTTGGTGGTCTCGTGCCTGCACATGGTACACATACAGATGTGCACACGTGCACACACAAATAAACACATACTTCTTTTGAAAATGCTAAGGAATCAGGTGGGTGGCACATATCTTTAATCCCAGCAGCAGGAGACAGTCAAGTAGGTCCCCTGAATTCAACACCAGTCCGGTCTACATATTGAGTTCCAGGACAACCCAGGCTACATAGAGAGAACCTGCCTCAAAATAAACAAACAAACAAATAAATAAAAATTTAAAAAAATTGAGGGAGAGTTTTTGATCAACAAGGGGAACTATGCTAAACAAAAGAAGAAAACACTGTAAAAGATCTTAAAGAGGAGTAAACAAAGAAAAAAAAAAGCTAGACTACTCAAACTCTTTTGTTTGTTTTTGTTTTCTCAAAACAGGGTCTCACTTACGTAGCCCTGGCTGTTCTGGTCTGTAGACCAGTCTAACCTTGATCTCACAGATCCACCTGCCTCTTCCTCCCGTGTTCTGGGATTAAACAGTGCCACCACACCGGCCAGTCAAACTCTGTATTAAAAGGTTCTCATGGGCAACTCCGGTTCTTTTTCACATTACCTCCCTGCTTCAAGTTTCTGACAACCGTATTGTTTTAGCAGACTTTTAAAGAAAAGGAAAAAAAAAATAGGCAGGGAAACCAAGAACCAAGGGTTGAGTTAAAGAGTAGCAACACATACACAAGCAAAAATAAAACCACAAAGGCCCAGTCAGTCATGAAATGCTGCCTAGTCATGAAAAGCCAGGAAGATGTCCTGTTGTCCCTCACAAACCAAGATTGCCAAACTCTCCTGTGGACTACAGGGCCCTGAAATCTTGATAACGGTGGTTAAGTAACCAGCATTCAATATGGAAATCATTTCCAAGATGAATTCTTCCACCTATTTGGGGTACTAGAAAAACATGGGCCCAGTGCAGACTAGAAACATGGCAGTTTCAGAACAGGGACAGGAAAGGACTTTTCCAGACAAGGTTACTTACAGACGTGTCGCTGCTTCGGTTGAGGTCTCGTCCCCCTCAATCCTGTACACTTTCCCATACATTACATATTCAAACTGGTCAGCCCTATAAACAAGAGGCCAAGTTATTCTTCGTAGCAATCAGTAGCGTGAGAGACCTTAAAAAACGGAAACTGAACCAGGCAGTGGTGGCACAGGCCTTTAATCTGAGCACTCAGGAGGCGGAGGCAGGTGGGGAGCTCTTGAGTTCGAGGCCAGCCTGGTCTACAGCGCGAGTTCCAGGACAGTCAGGGCTACACAGAGAAACCCTTTCTCAAAAAAACTAAAAAGATAAAAATAATTAAAATGGAAACTGATATCAAGAAATGCCATAGAAGCACAACCGTATTTGGCTCTCAGTTCAGTGAGAGAGACAGAACCGTCTGTATTTTATCGATGAGGAAAGAAAGGCGGAACGCAGTGGAGCTGAGAAATGAAAATTCAGTCTGTAGCCATTGCTGTCCTAAATGACTCTGTAGACCAGGCTGGACTCAAACTCACAGAGCTACTCCTGCCTTTCCCTCCTGGGATTAAGTGTGTGCATCACCAGGCCGGCTACAACAGTCTATCACACTAAGCTCCCTCCCAAAATCTAGGATACTATGTAATTATTTTCTTGGCTTTAAAAAAACTATACCTTAAGTTGGCATGGTGGCAAGTACCTACACACCTTTAATCCCAGCAGGCAGATCTCTATGAATTCAAGGCCAGCCTGGTCTATAAGAGCTAGTTCCAGACAGGCTCCAAAACCCCGTCTCAAAACAAACAAACAAACAAACAAAACCCTACACCTGCAGAGTAGCACATACCTTTAATTCCAACCAGGAGGTAAAGGACGTAGATGGCATCTGTGAGTTCGAGGCCAGCTTGGTCTACGTAATGTAGGCCAACCAGAACTACAGAGTGAGACCCCGTCTCAAATAAATAACTGCAGCTCCCAGCTTACACACACTGCTCTCAGTAAGTAATAAAGCTGGTTGTTTCAACCTTTTTTCATATTTTTTAGAGACATGGTCTCTTGGAGCCCAGGTTAGCCTCAGACTTGATGTGAAGCCAAAGATAGTCTTCTTCTTCTTCTTCTTTTTTTTTTTCAAGACAAGGTTTCTCTGTAGCTTTGGTGCCTGTGCTGGCTTCGAACTCACAGAGATCCGCCTGCCTCTGCCTCCCGAGTGCTGGGATTAAAGGTGTGCGCCACAAAAACACTCTTGAACTCCTGATCCTCCTGCCTCATCTCCCCCAGGCCCAAACCACCACACCCAGTTCTGGTTGTCTGAATTCTAAGTGCAACAATGTCTTTTCCTAGAAGTAAACAAAGCCCTTTATAATATACATAATATAGTACTTATCCAATGAGTCCCTCCTTTACTACTGCCTCACCTGGAAGGCCTGTCATCCGTGGGGTTGTACTCGCCATCATCCAAAGTACCATCTTCATACAAAGTACTAGCTATGACCAACCGGAACTTGTCACCTGAAAAGGGCATCACTATCAGAGTGAAGAAGAGGAACCCAAAGACTGCAAAGCTCTTACAGATGCCTGTGTTTGATACTTACCCAAGTCCACGGGGTAAATCTGAATGTTTACATCTAAGATGAGGTCCATCTTGAAAGACTCACTCTCACAGTGCAGCCGAGACACTGGGGAAGAGGGACAGACATGATTACAGACACTGGCTTGCGGGTCGAATGCAAGAGAATAAACCACCCAACAGGCCCACACCCACAAGCCTTGCTCTTCGTCCCAGAAGCACAAGTGCAATCCGAATCAGATTCACGAGAAGGAAGAAAGCCAAAAGCTCAGCAGCTGACAGGATCCCAAGAAAGAAGCAAGATTTCTCCGGCAGCAACCAGTCTCTAGGCTCTAAGCCTGCCTGGAGCGGGTCTTGAACTCAGAGATCCGCCTGCCCCTGCCTCCCAAGTGCTGGGATTAAAGGCGTGCGCCACCACCGCCCGGCCGAGCTGACAATTCTTGAGGCAATATAAAACTATAGATTAGGAGGGGAGGCAGGTAACTCGCTGCATAGCCTGGCTTAAGTAACAAAACAGGTAAAGGCCCCATCCACCTCTTACAAGAATAAAGTGAAATGTGCGAGAGAGGCGCACGGTACAGCACGTAACGCTTAACAGGGATTAAAAAGGTGCCCAAGTGTTTACCAGCACCAAAGCTAAGGGCCACCCAGGCTCCAGACATCGCAAATACAATAGGAAAAGCTGTCTCAAGTTCCTCATTATGAAAACAAACAAGCAACTTTTTCCTGAGGGAGGTACCGAGAGTGGGGCGGACCACTTGGGTGGGCATGTTGGCGTCTTCCCGCAGACCTCCCCTACAACACCTTACCTCGGTCAAACTTCTTGCCTTCTGGGTCAATGTCTTTCACGTCAAAAATATCCTCGAACAGGATGCCCGCCATCGTAAGGGGCACGAGAGCTGCAGAGGTGCGGAGCGCACGGCCACCACTGGGAATTCGCGCACCCCCTCACGTGGAAAAAAAGAAGACAGGGCAGAGTACCGCCCCAAAAGCGGCCACTGTGCAGGGGGCGCATGCGCACAGGCTGTAGGACCGCGGCCACTTCCGCTGCCTCCCCCTTGGGGCTCCTGAACTTCCGCCGGGAAAAAGGCCACCTCGGAGCTGCTCGGGCCTGATGGGCGGGTCTCAAAGCCCGGTGACTCCGCCCAAGGCGGGGACAAACTAGGTCCCACCCCCGGCGGGTACCGCGCCGCGACCAGCTCTACGGCGCCCTCTTTAGATCCCGGATCCCGAAGCTTGCAAAGCCTGGGGGCCTAACCCAGCCAGGAACCTTGATCCTTGGCCCAGCCCGGGCCGAGCCCTGCCCTGCGGTCCGCGAGTCAGCCGAGGGCACAGTCCGTGCAGCAGGCGGGTGGAGCAGAGCCCCGCCCGCAGAGCGCCCGCCCAGCGGGACGTAGTACCCAGCCCCTCGGACTGCCACCAAAGTCCCCCACGCTGGTCCGAGCTGGCTCTGACCAGCTAGACGTCACCCGAGTCCGTCCGGTTTGGGAATTTGCCAGAAGTCACTCTCTGGGAAAGGAAAGCCCGCATTGTGCCCTCCCCTGGGGAT